GATACAAGAGGATGTTAGTTATAAATGAGGGAGATAGTGAAATCCCTTTAATAGGATGAAGTTGAACACTAAAACATATAGGCGTTTTGTCCTGTGATGCTTAGAATTTCTTTAGAAACTGAAGTTAAAAGTGATATTATAGTAGCAATCCTAGGATGAGTGAATTTGGGAAGTTGCATCAGGTAGACAAAACTGTGAAGTCACTAGTAGACCAAAGAAAACAAAATTTTGATGATTGAAAATTCGGGCTTTTTACAGCTATAAGCTACCAAAAGAGATCATTAAATATAAAATGCATACTTATATCAGTTGAACATTACAAAACTAAGCTTACCTTGCCCACTTTGGAATGTACTTTCTATGTCTGCTATCTTCTTCCATGTCTTCTTCATCAGACGTTTGATATGGAGACATCTCATATGATTGTAATTCAAAAGAAATGTGTGCAGCACAGACAGTATCTTCTACTGTTTCTTGTAAAAAATTTGAACCGCCAACTCCCTTGATAAATTTGTATTAGAAGATAAAAATCAATATTATTTCTTTCAGACTTAAAAAAAAAATGCTGAGAAATCAGACTTAAAAAAAAATGCTGAGAAATGCTCCAGAAATTTTCAAGGTAAATGCATGCAAGAAAACAGGAACAAAATGAAGATAAAAAAAATGGACATGACTATTAAGGACTTGAGACCCAGACCTAATGCAAAATAAAATAAAATGTATTGAAATTAATGTCGACCATCGTAAATGAAAATTAAGCCTAATACTAAAGTGGATTGCCTTATAGACTAACCTTTTTCATATTATTTCAACGTTACCTTTGCAAAAGAAAAGTTTTAACAATAGGCATGATGCCCACAACCGATTATTGATTGCATGTCATATTATATTATAAATCTACTTGGCAATAAAAGCTATCAGGAAAGTAATTTTAACTTCACCTGTGTAAAAGAAAACTATAAAATTATGCCTAATGCAATACAACAGCTTTTATTTATGAATAAACTAACCAGTAACGGCCATCCGGGTATATTTTTCAAACTCTTACCTTTTCAAAGGATTTGCGTTCATCAGAGACCACTAGAGCTTTAATCTTATCATCACCTCGTCTGGTATCAGCAGATACAAGTTCAATAGTGCAATGTTGCATTTCAGCGGCCATTTGACTTTCCATAACATCTATTGCACTTTCCAACTTCGTTTGGCCTTCATTGTTTCTTCGTCTCCCCCCTTTCTGTTCCTCATCCTACAAGAAAAATGCATGTTAATCATATAAGGAGTAAAAATACAATAAACAAATAAATAGCTAAGTTATTATACTATGATTTTTTGTCGATTATCTTTTTCCGCTTTCCCAAAATGCAAATTGTCTCTATGTTGTCTTTGTAATGTCCTTGTTTCTCCAATGCATTGCCTTTTTCTATCTTTCACTTTTCTCTCTTCTGCCTCCCTATGTCTCTTCCTTGCTGCAATGTTTTCCTTCTTCCTCCCCTCTTCAGCTTTTTGTTTTTGCTCGAGTTTCAGTAATTTGGTATTTTCTTGCCTCAATTTTTCCCGCTCCAGTTTCACAGCTGCCTTTCTTTTCTCACGCTCAAGTTTCATCTGATCTTCAAGGCGCTTGGCAGCTTCAGCAGCTTCCAGGGCCTTAACTTTAATGTCTTTCTTCTTCTCTGCAAGCACGAAAATAGAACATTTAAGATTTCAAAATATGCACGGTTACTAAAGATGGCTCAAACACTGAATAAAATTGGACTACAATGAACCGACAGAATTATCATCTATATGCTAATTAAATATCGTGAATTTTATGTTGATTTCTATATAGCTAAAGTGGTTGCATTATGGGCAGATCATTGAGGAACAAGGGACGCCTCACTTTAGTTAAATTTAAAAAACCTTCTTTTTATTTCCCATATAAGAAAGACAAAGACACGTAGGCTGAAAAAGAGGCAGCAAAAGCATCAAGGAAAAAAAAAATAGAATTGAAAAAAAGTAAGATGACCAATTTGGCTACATAGCAAATTTACTTTTACTTTTCCAAAATCCTGTAGCTGAAATGAGAGAATGCGTACAGAGGGCAAAAAATTTGTAGTGGTGAACTGCTCCCTACTCCATCTATCCCAACGTCTCCACTCCCACTCTGTGAGCTCTGAAAACCAGTGTAGTGGGATACAAAAAAATAGTAATCACTTTTTTTTATTTTTTATACTAATCTACTGGCTCCTATTCTGAAGGATCATCCACTGCTCTCTTCACCCCAAAACAAAAAACTCACTGTCAACTTTCCCTCGTCTCGCCCACGCCTACTTGAGCATGCAAAGCCCCCAACTCACTGTGCCTCTTATGAACAACTACACAACACCCCTCCTCGAATGGCTCTGTCTCCTACTTGCACTGCACTGACCTGGCGCGCTCTCCTTTCCAAGCATAGGCCCTCGACCCTCCTTAAGTCTCAAGCACAACCAACCTACTGCCACTTGCCATGTTCCTTCTAGCAAGCTAAAACCACAATAGACAATAGAACCTACCTGCCTCTCATAGATTTCCCTCTCCACATTGTTGCAAGAAAACAAATAAATTTGCCTACTCAACTTCAACAAGAATCATTATCAATATCTTGCCATCAACAAGGTTATTGCCATGCATCACTCCATTTCACCCTCTTGCTTTCTTTCTGTAGGTTGAGAGAATAAAATCCACTCTCTAACAATCCTCTTCTTCCCCCACTCAATCTCAACATAACAAATCTCATCGACAACCCAACTCTAGCTAGTTCCCACCTCACACTCTCTCTGCCTCTCTCTCTCCACATTTCTCTCCAGATTGAGATATTATTCTCCCTTACCCTCTCTCATTAGCTTTTTCATCATCTTTTTCTCGTTCTATCTCTAGAAAAAATCAACAAACATAAAAATATTCTAGTGTAGTGGGACATTTGCATCTTCTCGTAACAACAGGAAGGCCCCGTCATCCATGTATTTTTTTCTGTGGAGGTATAAAATACCCATTAATCCTTTTTTAAGTGTGATGAATTTTAAAACTCCCCACACAAAGAACCTATACCACCAACCATGCATAAATTATTAAGTATTGTTGAAAATCCCAACTCCCAGTAGATGTTACCCATGAGGAAGAGACCATAAGAAACTGTTAAAATTCTCCAAAATGTTGCTTGCAAAGAGCAAAAAAAATGATAGCATCTCAAATCAAATAACACAACGAAAATGAATTTAATAGATACAAATTTCTAAAATTCAGGACAAAAAAATTGAACATCCAAATGTGATGTGAATTGTCTTGAAGGAACAAGACTTGCACAAAAATTTTAGGGGACTACTAAATTCACTCACATGAATGATCAAAACCACCTTGAACTTTAAACTTATCAGAGCACATAATGAACTTAACTTAAAGCTGATGAAAAATGAAATGAGCAACGTTTCTATTTATTAAAAAATAGTTTAAGTGGAGCATATTTAAGTAAAATACAACTCACATCTGAAAAATTCCCATCTTAGAAAAATCTAAAATGTTATCTAATCCACAAAACCACCAGAACCACAACAAATCTGTGGAAGCAAATAGATGTTTTTCATAACTTAAAAAATAAAGCTTTGCATACATTAAGTGTCTATCCACTAGTAAAATTTGTAAAATTGCAAGCTTACATATGCTAAATACACGAAAATCGTGCAAGTTATGTTGCAAATCATGTAAAACATTCTATAAACTCTTCAAATTTAGCATTTGCATGTGCTCCAAAAAATAGGTTTAATGCTCAATTATAGTGTCTTAGCATGCTGCACTGACTAAGAAAAAGTTAAATTCATCCTTTCCTCAACAGTTGTGAGATCATTTGAAAGGCATGCAATCACTTTGAAAATTTGTAAGCCTTTTTTTTTTTATTCAAACAAAACATATCAATTCAAACAAAACATATCATACAATACTCTTGAAGAAGCTACCTTGCTTATAAGATAAATCATGTGTCGATGTGGGTTACAAAAGAATTCAAAAAGCACCCCGGACCCTCATCGAGACAATAACGCGGTGAGTTTGTTAAGTTTTCGAGTCCAATTTTTAGAAGGCGGATGAGATGGTAGATATACACTACCCAGAGATTTCACCCTCATTTTACAAAGGGCTTTAAGATGACACAAGCCCCTATGGTTAATTACCCCTACCGATAATGAGAGAGCACTTTCGATTAAGGTTAGTCATTAGGTGCAAAATATTCAGACTTAGCATATTATAGCAGCAAATTTGAAAATTTAAATTACAAAATTTATCATCACCATGAGCACAAAGCGGATGGTAGAGCAAATCACGACAAACCCGATCAAAATCACATGGTTCCGTCATTCCGGGTTGTCATGGTCTCGGGTCTATTTAGTCAGAGGAGGCAGTTGACCCAACCAACCAAAAAAATCCTTGTTAGCAGTCTTGGGTTGCTTCGTCCAAGGGAACCATGTAGACCTAGAGTGAATCTTTGTTTAAGGAGACTAATCAAAGCAATCTTAGCTTACAAAGGGTTTTTTGTCATATCAAATATACCCTATGATTTAACTCATACTCATAAGGGCAGACTCCCATTGGGGAACAAACAGGCCACAGACATAGTCGTAATTTAACAGTGTCATTTGGTAGCAAACCACCCAGTCAAAGGGCTCTAGTCGTAACTGCTTCTTCGTTGTGTCATTTGGCGACAAAACCACGCGGACAGTTGAACTCAGACCACGTCCTTACTGGCATGAGATTATTTTGAGTTTGAATTTAGTAGTATATTTGATATGACATTTGTTCTTTGTGAGCTCGAGTCGGCATTAGATTTGTCCGCCTCTACAAATAATTGTGGAGGGCGAATCAATTTTGCTTTAAGCATTATGTGACATATATTTTTTTTAAATATTTATTTTTTTATGATTTAAAACGTTTTGATTTTATACATGAACCATTCCAGTTGAAATTTACGATGTACACGACCATCACTGCGGAATGACTATTTTTGAACTCTGTCGGCTCTATCCCGCTTACGAAGGATCAGGTTCAATAATTGAAATAATTGAATTCAAAATGACTTTGAGAGTTTTAAAATAGACTCTTCTGGTTGAAATATTCTATCAACTTGGTCATCATCCGGGAATACTACAACTTACACAATTAAAAGCATCATTTCTGTCAACTCCAGTCCTCATAAGGAGGGAGAATGGCTCAGTGGTGGTTCAAACTTGTCGACTCCGGTCCATGTAAAGAGGAAGATTGGATTGGCTCAGTGGGGGCTCAATCTTGTCAACTCCGTTCCATGTAGGGAGGAGGATCAGATTGGCCAAAGTATGAGACTTACATCCTCCCCCTATAGACAAGGCGGCCCATTGCCCGAGCAGCATAATTATGAATATTTAGAGGAACATCAGAGCACGAAAGGGTCTTTTATATTTGTTATCTTGAGTTAATTTTTAAATAGCTTGCACACATTTTTGGGACAGATTTTATTTGATTTTAAACATTTGTTTCACCTCTGCAGCATTCTCGAACCTTGTGATTGAATGTTCAACATGTTGGTCGAAGCACATGCGAGAGTTTCATATTTGTTGAATTTGGCAGACTTTTGAGGAGGTTATATTAATATTTGCATGGGGATTTTATCAATATGATTTGTGCAAATATTTTCATTTAAGCTTTTAATTTTGATTTATGTTCGCTCGTGTCTGTGGAGTTACGGATCCTGTGCCGGCCATGCAGAACTTCACTTCAAGCGCCTCGGTATTTCATTATGTCTGCTTCTATATGTGCGTAGCGAATCCAGTGGCTATTAAGACATCCTAGACTTTAATTGCATATTTGGAATTATGTATCTCTCCCATTCTTAGCTCCCATTTGAGTGTCCACGGTGACCCCCTCACAGGTTTCATTTGACCTTGTTGAGTTGTCGAATCCCCTGTGAGTCGTACAAGTTCTATTTAATTTTAATTGTGTAGTTTAAAATGATTTATACAATCATTTTAGTCTTTAATATATAACTTAGGAACTTTCATTCTGATTGAAATTTTGGTTCAAGTGAATTCAATTTACAAGCTCTTTTATGATCGTCATTCCGACCAGAATCTGACAACATTTCGACAGTCTGCCGACGTCGGTCCCCGTTGGGGGGCTACATCGAGAGTCCTGGTCTGCCCACTATGCCAAGAAAGGCGTGTATGGATGGCCTAAGCCACAAGCTCAAAGTAGTGTATCCCGCCACGCAAAGAAATGCATGTACGGATGTCACCCATGCAACTTCAGACACCTACATCTTTCTCCGCCGCGTCAAGAAGGGCACTTACAAGCACTTAATTTTGAGTTGTTCATCGCGCCTTGAGAGTCGCGTGCGAGCTTGACCCCACCATGCTAAAAAAAGTGTGTATAGAGTTTCTTTCAACACATCTAGAGAGCCATAATAGACATTTCAGAATCTTTTTGATTCGCCCATCGCGTCACAAGTGATGCATACACTAAGAAAAGCGTGTATAGGACTCCACTCAATGCACCATATACATCGCTATAGACAGCTCAAAAATTGCGAGTGTTATAACTTACGTGCAGCGCCGAAGATTTTGAGAGATCTGCATAAATTTCACATACCAACTTGCACTCTCCTACCCGCATCAGAATCATTTACATATGCATCATA